GTGAGCATTCGGCGTTGATGGCTGTACCTCCATACACCGTCTCCCAAAGGAACTGTGTCATACTCAGACACCACCCAGCCTTTATACCTAAAGTCTGTTCAGAATACCATATCAACGAGCCTATAGTATTACCTATGTTTTCCCTAAACGGCATGCTTCAGCTAAGGAGGCCGCTCTACATACATTAGATGTAGAGCCATTTCAACTTCCACTGCCTTTCTCAGGGGCGTTCCTCTTCCAGACATTCATAGGTCAGCCACGTTGGCATCCTACCGCACCTTTGTATAACATTATGCTGTACAGCACAGGTAGGTTCCAGATAAATCCATTACAGCCGCAGTCCTTTCATCACACAATCATTAAGCTCCGAATCCCATCTACCTTCTCATACACGGGGAGTGGGACACTGCTGTGCAGACACCTACTGTGGAGCACCCAGGGGGACTCCTCAAAGAAGAAAGCGAAGTTACTCACTTTGGTGCAGTAACTATCGTTCTTTGAGATGGTCCCCATGGAGGTCTCAAGTTGTGGAGGGAGAGGTCCAGGTTGGATATTAGGAAAAACTATTTCATTAGGAGGGTAGTGAAGCACTGGAATGGGTTACCTAGGGAAGTAGTGGAGACTCCATCCCTAGAGGTGTTTAAGTCTCAGCTTGACAAGGCCCTGGCCGGGTTGATTTAGTTGGGATTGGTCCTGCCTAGAGCAGGGGGCTGGACTTGATGACCTTCTAAGGTCTCTTCCAGCTCTATGGTTCTATGATTCTATGATGCTTCACTACCCACCCACCTCCCCGCTTCGGCGTCCGTTTCCATTTTTTTGTGTTACAGATTCTGAGGCAGGTATGAGGAACTGGCTCAGACCGGACCAAGCAATGCGAAAGGGAGCAAAAACTGCAAGATGCTCCCCGTGCATGCACAGTCTGGCCAGACTACTGCTGCAAAAATCTCCATCCTGCAGCGCCGGGTAAAGCCCAGCACCTACAGCGGAGCACCCATGGGTACCATCTCGAAGAACGATAGTTACTGCACCAAACTGAGTAACTTTGCTTTCTGCATCAACCAAGGACTACGTATCTTCAGCTCCGTTTTACACACTCCATCTCAAGGTGTGGTACCTGGATGATTGACTTTTCCCCCCAAAATTACGTTCATCTATGTGTCTGCAAATTCTATTCTTAACTATTGTTTCAACTAATTTGCCCAGTACTGACATTAGACTTACCTGTCTGTAATTGCCAGGATCACCTCTAGAGCCCTTTTCAAATATTGGAATCATGTTAGCTATCTTCCTGTCATCAGATACAGAAGCTGATTTAAAGGATAGGTTACAAACCACTTGTTACTGTTATGTTTATCAATTTGTTCCAAAATGTCCTCTAATGACACCTCAGTCTGGGACAATTCCTCAGATCTGTCACCTAAAAAGAATGGTTCAGGTTTGGGAATCTCCCCAGTGTCATCTGAAGAAGAGAATTCATTTAGTTTCCTGCAATGACTTTATCATCTTTGAATGTTCCTTTACCATCACAGTCATTCAGAGACCCCACTGGTTGTTTAGCAGGCTCCTGCTTCTGATGTACTTAAAAAACGTTTTGCTATTACTTTTTGATTTTTTGGCTAGTTGCTCTTGAAACTCCTTTTTGCCTTTTCTTATTATACTAGCCAATTAGCCCGTCATAAAATGGGATTTTCAGATCTTCTCTCCTGAGCTCTCTCGTTCTGTCTCTCACTCTCTCTCCTCCTACTGCTTCCTCCCTTCTCTCTCAGCTCTCCTCCATCTCCTGCCTCTCTCCCTGTCTCTTTCTTTCTCTTCTCCCCCTCCTGCCTCTCTCTCCCTGCCCCCCTCCCTGTTCCCCTTCTCCTTCCCTCCCACCGTGGCGCTTGGCTGAGTGCTGCCTGCTCAGCTGGGCTGCCGCGACGGAGGGAGGCGGGGCGGTGACGTGCACGGCCAGGGCTGGGGCCGTGTACATCACTGCCCTCCTTTCCCATCCCACCCCAGGGAAGCCCAAATAGCCCCTTGCGCTGCTGGCTCCCCCGGTGGCCCAGCTGAGGGCTGCAGCCTCAGCTGAGTGCCACAGCGGGAGGGGAAGGGGGGGCGGTGATGTACACGGCCAGGCGGCAGGGCCGTATACGTCACCACCCTGCCCCCTTCCCCTCCCTCCGTGGTGGCTCGGCTGAGTGTTGCACGCTCAGCTGGGCTGGCATAGGGGGAGCAAGCGGCCATTTGGGGTCTGCACTCCCCATGCATGCTCCCATGCTTGCTCCCCCGCCCTGGCCCAGCACTCAGCTGAGCTGAAACAGAGGG